CCTTTTTTTTAAGACAAGGTAGCTATACTGTTGCTTCTTACGTTGGGACAGGAGAAAAACCTCACCTTGTGGCTAAGAGCATCTCCTATAGATGATGTAAAATATATCACTAAAAAGTGGTTGGAGTAAAATATACATCACCAAAAAGTGTTTTTTACATCATCAAAAAACACCTAACTCCAACAGATGATGTAAAATACAGCAGCCACGCGGTGCCGCTCTAACAGGTGGTGTAAAAATGGCCAACGGCCGCGCGGCAGCAGCACTATAGCCGCACATATTCGAATCAAAATCATCCCATGGACATAAAATCAACAGTATTCCAAATTCAACATGAACTCAACTTCCATAGCAAACATAGTTCATAATCCAGCAAACAAAATTGCATCATGTCAAATCAAGCTCATGATCCAACAATTAAAAGTGCACATAAACATCAGATAAAACATAGCATCCATCCTCTCCGTTGCCACTTGGCACATTATGGACATTGGCATCATCATCATCAATTGCTTCTTTCTTGACATTCTCATGCGTTGATGCATCGATGCCGCCACCTCCACCGGAATCACCTCCCATACCACTCATGTTGCCACCGAAGCCACCTCCCATGCCACTCATGTTTCCACCGAAGCCACCTCCCGTGCCACTCATGTTTTCAACGAAGCCACCTCCCGTGCCACTCATATTGCCACCATAGCCACCATCCATGTCACCACCCATGTTTGCACCAAAGGCACCACCCATGTTGCCACCGAAGACACCACCCATGTTGCCACCAAAGGCACCACCCATGCCACCTCCCATCATGTTCATGTAGCCACCCATTCCACCTCCCGTTGCACCCATTCCTCCTCCCGTTGCACCCATTCCTCCTCCCATTCCACCCATGGCACCTCCTATTCCACCCATTCCTCCTCCAATTCCACCCCTGGCACCTCCCATTCCACCCATTCCTTCTCCAGTTCCACCCATGGCACCTCCCATTCCACCCATTCCTCCTCCCATCATGTTTCTCATGAGCATGGTCTTCATGATCATTTTCTCGTGACAAAGCTCGACAAACGCTTTTTGCTTAAACTTTAGTGCCTTCTCCTCCACCGTCTTAAGCTCATCGGCCACCACCTTCCTCTCCTCGGCCGTCGCCCTCCGCCGCTCGGCTTCTCTCCTCTCCTCCATCTTTCAATTTCTACCTTCTTTTTTCTTGGCATACTCTTTCCTCGCAATGACAATGGCATCAAATTCTTCTTTAAGATCATTGTCTTCGGCCTTTGAGCCCTTTGCTTTTTTTATTTCCATCCTGTCGAGTGAGGAGTGGGGCTCCTTCTTCTCTCCTCACCACTGTCATCGTCATCATCATCATGATCGACAACCAAGCTCTTCTTCCTCGGAGCTTCAAAAGCTTCCCGATTCTTCCACCTCTCCTCATCCTTGAGCTCTTTGTAGCAATGATGGAAAGTGAACGGTTTCCTTTCTTCTTCTTCTTGTCCCGGTTCTTGTCTCTTTCTTGGAACAAACCTCAGGCAATCATTTTCTACAAAATAACAACAAAAGTAGCATCATCAATTTATAGGAACATATGCCACCATGAGATTTGGCCGCGGGCGCCTTCTTTGTCGGCGGCGCACCCACTCTTGCACCGGCCCCGATGCGGTGAGATGGGGGCGGCATGGCGGCGGCGGCGGCGGGAAAGGTAGGAGCCGTGGTGGCGGCCATGGCGAGGTGCGTCAGACCGGCCCCAGGGTCTGGGGAGTCGGCCATGGGGTCCGGCGGTGGCCGGCAGGCAGCGGGAAGCTTCCTTTGGCAGTTGGCGTTCGCACAGCTGCTGGCTGTTTTACTCGGCCGCACGGCTGGTGATGTATATTTGCATCACTTCGTGATGCATTTTACATCTGAGTAAAATCTGAGTTTTTTTTTTGCATCTATATCATCTATTGAGGGACGTTTTTGGGCCTCAGTGATGTATATTTCGGTTATTTATACATCTACATCATCTATTGGAGATGCTCTAATGGGGATGAAGATGGAAAACTATCCCAATTGGGGAATAGCCCTGCTGTTATGTAAATCAGTGGGATTAGCCCTGTTGTGAATGTAAATGAGTTCCATTTACATATTCTATAATATAATTATCCTGTTATTGGTCTTGCCTTTGATGCACAAGTAAACACAGCAATTTCATTTTGATTTCACTGCGAGCTCTACTAAATCTAACATTGTTGGACATAAACAAACAATGATAGTATTGATATACCGAGAGCACATTCTTCAGGAAATGACATATCTTAAAGAAGGAGCTCTTCTAAAAGGGAATGTACACAAGATTTTTCCATATGGTGCGCAAGTTAGGATAACTGGGACCAACAGAAGGTACAAGCTGAATGGTTGCAAAGCAGATTCCTGTTTTGCTACATGTACAATTACATTTGAAAATCTAAGCATGAATTGCCTTTTTTTATATTGTTGCTCCTCATTTTGTTACACTTAAATTTAACTAATTTAGTATTTATGCAAAGAAATATTAATGAAACTCAAGTGGTCTAAATTTATAGCGATTAAACGTTGTGATCAGTTGATTACAACAGGCACATTGAATTTTATCGCATATTGGTTACATATATACCTCATATTTAAGCATTAAGAAGATACATGTTAGATATTAAACCTTGACGTGTGTCATAGCTTTTCTGAGAGACAGCTGTAGTTGCAGAAGTTTTTTCCTGCCTTTGATTGAAACAGGACCTGGAACAATGGCTGAAAACTAAGTAGATGATAAAACATGATGTTGTGTAGCCAATCATAAGCTAACAAGATGATGTCTTGTTTTCTTTTTCTAAGAAGGAAATAAATAATAGTGTATTGAACTACTCTTATGCAGTGGATTACTGCACATCTCCAACATTAGTCAAGGTCGTGTCTTGTCAGTAAGCGACATCCTAAACGTAGACGACGAGCTGAAAGTTCTGGTGATCAAGTCAAATGTTTCTGACAAAATTGCACTCAGGTAATACCGTCACAACTCACAACACGATGCACTGGATTTATTCAGCTGCCAACTAACAGTTTTAAAACAATGTAGTGGAATGAGCTTTCAAAATTCTTTGTTCGTAGTTTTTAGCAAGATTTTGTCATCAGATATGATAAAACACTGAAATTTATTTTGCTACCTAATTAGCAGCATAGCAGACCTGGAGAGTGCTCCTGGTTTATTTCTGTCAAATAAAGCGGTGAGACTGAAATACATTTTATGTTTCTTTGACAGTTCTCTCATGTGTATCTTTTCTTAGTGCCATTTATCTTGTGCTGATGCAGAAGGTGTTTTCAGAAGCTGAGGAAATGGCAAAGAGGTACCGGGAGCAGCTTCCAGTTGTCTCTCGGAACACTAAATTAGATTATGACCTTCCAGAGGAAACTATTCCGGTTGATAATGAAGCGACACTTTATGCAAACTGGAAATGGTTCAAATTTCTGAGGCATGCCAAATCTGGTGACGGAAATGATAGAACATAATTGCAGCT